GTCACTGTCTGCTTTTTTATATATAATAAAAGGTCTATTAGAGTTTTGCTTATTTGTTTTGGAACAACTTTTCTTGAGTTTTCTCTTTTTTTTTGTTTCCTTTCACCATATAATGGGAGGTTCCTTTTCTTCCTTATTTATTAAGCTTCCTCCTCCTTCTCCTCTTCCTCATTCTTCCTCTTCCTCCTCCTCTTTTTCTTCTCTCTCTCTTCCTCACTTTCTCTCTCTCTCTCTCTTCTCCTCTCTATCTTCTCTGTCCCTCCCTCCTAATCAGAAAAGGATGCTGAACATTGCCTAAAGACTTTCTTGCAGCTTGAAGTCATATTTTCCTTTTGATCTGATATTATGATGTATTGTACAAACGATGAATTATACAAAGGTTTTAATATTTAGTCATACTTCTGTTCCATGGTCACAGTCTCTTACTCCTTTCACAGAAGCTTCTGGATTTCATTTATGCGTGAGGCTATCTGAATCCTAAACGTCTGTTAGGCATTAGGAACATTTCCAATCTCAGTGAACTTCCAAGATTTTGTCTCTCTTGGGGGAATTCTGCTTCCCCCTTCTGTCCTGCTCAGCTGTGGTTGCTCATCTGATCCCAGGAAATGACCTCACCTCTCCCACGCATCTCCATTGCCCGGGACGAGACTCCAGAGGCGCAGGATACCATGTGAGATGCCACATTGAAGGCAAACAGCAGACTCCTTTTGTGGAAGATGCCAAGGGCTGGTGGTGGACAGGAGAAGCTGAGAGCCCTGAATTGGGGCTGGTGAGACCTTTGGCCAAAAGAAGTGTCTAAGCCACTCTGATGCTTGTGTTGCTGTGAGGTGTAAATGTGTGTGCGTGTGCATGCATGTGTGCATGCATGCCAGCAGCACAAGGCCTTCTCTGTAGTGTTCATCTCTACAGACATGAAAACAATGGCTAAAGAATACAAAAGTCACTTTGGGAAAAGGCAGTTTGAAATAAGTGCTGGGTTATCAGCCACCTCTTGGAGATCCCATGTCTATTTGGCTGAGTCTGGAACTGGCTTGCAAGAGAGAAACAACATTGTGGAAGCACAGCCGGCTTACCTGGGCCCTGCGGGGTGTGGGTACCTAGATTTTCCATTTCTCTGAGGAAGGATGCTGCTTGTGAGCTCTTTCTCTGTCCCCTGAGGTGCTGAGGAAGTTGCTAATCCAACAGGCTGGTCCTAGATGTCACTTGGTTTGGGCTGCAGAGTAGAAGAAGCAATTCCATGCAAGGCAGAGCTCTTTAAAAAAGAGCAGGATGCAGTCTCAGAGCTGGGTTTCATAGGCCCTGGCCTACATCCTCCCCATGCCAGGGCCAATTGGGGCCGGCGCCTGCAGGCTTGCTCTGCACGGGCCAGCTGGGCCCTTTGCTTTGGCCAGATGCACTGCTAGATGCCATGCCAGTGACCTTGTGTCCATCTGGACTGTCCTGCTTTCCCAGCTCATTGTCCACGGAGGGCTGTCCAGAAGCAGGTGAGGGGCTAGATCTGGATACAGGCTTCAGTTTGCCTATCTCCATTCTAGATAATCTAGAAGGGCAGGTGTTTTCCACTGACCACGCCCATACGTCTTCCTCCTTGACCTTTTCCCACCCTCCATAAGGCTAGGAGGGATGTCCATGTGCCAAAGAAAATATCTTCCTCGCTCTGTGCATTGCAGATGTCCTCTCTTTGTTAGGACTGATGAACTGCTTTTGGATTCAGACCTCTGAAAACAACAGTTCCATGCATTAAAGTAGATGCAGCTGCTTGTGTGTTTGTGTTTGTGTGTGTGTGTGTGTGTGTGTTTGTGTGAACAGTCAGTATAATCCTTTTTGGACTAGATCCATAGCAATTTAAAGATGTGTTGGAGGACAATAATTTGAATAATGATCCTTGTTTTGGCACAAAGCAGCAAACTGTGATTTTCTGGCAAGTTCTCAGCCTGAGCATCATTAGTCTGTGGTGCATCGGTTGGTGTGCTGGATGCAGGAGGTGCAGGCAGAAGGTGGGTGATGATGCTGGCAACCTCCAAGCAACCTGACCTACATTTGGAAGAAACGTGGTTAGATTCCATCTTCTGTGCTGTAATCTGCACAGTCCTGTGTGACTTTCACCTAAAAAAGTCTGCTCCATGGAGTTGACAAGGTTAGCCACGTAACCATTTTACCCAGACTCTGTGAAGGGTAGATGCTCAGTCAGCCTGAATGTCTCCTGTAAACAAACTCACCCTGGTCAGCAGACCCTGTGCACATTACAGAGTGCTTTGTAGACATCAAAAATGCCAAGTCACCCAGTGAGATGTTTTTGAAATAGAGTTATCACTCAAGCCATGTTTTGAACAAGTGTAGCTGAAACATGATATGTTTTCTCTACTGCAGGAAGATAGTGTCCAGGAGGGCAGGATTGCTGGGCCCAAATTCTGTGTTCGACCCTGACTAGTTGAGAGACTCAAGGAATTGACTTATCTTTGTAGTGTCACAATTTCCCCAGTCTGTTCATTGTGGAGGATAATAGAATCTATAGAGTTATTTGCAGAATAAATCAGCTAATATATAATAGAATGCTGGGAGTAGTGTCTGGTTGATAAGAAGTGCTACCTGTCTTGTGCTTTAGCTTGATTTGCACGTAGAAAGTCAGTGTATAATTAGTTTGGAGGCAGAACATTAAATAGACATATAATTTTTTTTTGCTGGTCATGGGGCTTGAACTCTGGGCCTGAACGCCGTCCCTCAGCTCTTCAGCTCAAGGCTAGTGCTCTACCACTTGAGCCACAGTGCAACTTCCTAGACACATAATTTTTATTAGTGTAAATTAGTTGCACAAATAGGTTTTACTGTGATGTTCAGAACATGCATGTGCTGTCCCTTGATTAAATCAAATCCACCTGATCTGTATTACTTTTTCTTTTTTTGTTGGTCATGGGGCTTGAACTCTGGACCTGGGTGCTTCCCCTTTAGCTCAAGGCTAGCACTCTACCACTTGAGCCACAACACCACTTCTGATTTTTCTGGTGGTTAATTGGAGATAAGATCCTCATGGACTTAGCTGCCTGGGCTGGCTTTGAACTGTGATCCTCAGATCTCAGCCTCCTGAGTAGCTGGGATTACAGACGTGAGCCACCGGTGCCTGGCTTGTATTACTTTTTCTTACTCTCCCCCTTACCCTTTAACAGTTTTTGGTGAATTTCATTATGTAGTTTCCCCTCCCCCCCCCTCTCTCTCTCACACACACACACATGGACATATGCATACACACATACACACACTCCATATCATTCATCCACTGGCATTGTCTCCTTTACTCCTCTACCCACTGTTCTTCACCCCCTAAACATTACTGGGGGTACAATCATGTTGTATTACTGTGGGGAGGTTAGGTCTAGATTCTGCATATGTGCAAAAACATGTAATAGGTATCTTCCTGAACCTGACTTGGCTTCCTTCACATGACGCTCTCCAGTTCCATCCGTTTTCCTGCACATGACATAATTTCATTTCATGGCTGAATAATGCTCCATTCCATATATGTACCACCTTTTCTCTACCCGGTTATTGGTTATTGACAACTAGATTGGTTCAATATCTTGATGATTATAAATAGTGCTGCCAGAAACATGAGGGTTCAGGTATCCCCTATATTAATTTATATTCACTTGGATACATGCTCGAGTGATGTGGCAGGATTATATGGTACTTCTACTTTTAGCTTCCTGAGGAATCCCATTACTGAATTCCATAGAAGCTGCACTGATTTACATCTGCAAAACAGCATGAAGAGGGTCCTAAAATGGACATTATTTTTTCTGATCCTGGAACTTGAATTCAGGGCCTGAGTGCTATCTCAAAGCCTCTTTGTGCTCAAAGCTAGTACTATACCACTTGAGCCACACCACCATTTCCACCTTTTTCTTTATTGGAAATAAGAGTCTCACTGACTTTTCTGCCCAGGCTGGATTTGAACCATGATCCTCAGATCTCAGTAGCTAGGATTTTAGGTATGAGCTACCTGTACCCAGCTAAAATGGACATTTTTAATAGTTACATAAATAATTTATACTCCTCCTCGGGTGCTTGGCTACTAGAGGGAAAAGTGACAAAAGGACCCCATGATGCACTGGTACAGACAGCCACGGTCAGGGGCCAAGGGCCCATTGCCCCTTGTGAGTTTGGAGTTGCACGGTGAGATTATCTTGTGAGTACAAACCAGTCTGAGCCTGGTGATTTTCATGGAACCTGTAAACATTTTCCCAAAGCATGAAGTTATTCATCAACACAATCTAATGGCTATATAATGAAACTGTTGATGAAATATTGGTGAAATATTTTCTTATATTAAACATTTAGGTTGTTCTTTCTTCCTAGGAACGGAGGTGAAGGTATCTATTAACTCTAGTGATATGGTCATCAGGGAGATATGTATATATTTATACATATATATATAGGGGATATGTGCATTATATAGTATATATAATATATATGCATATATGTATACATTTGTAATATATACATATATGCATAGAACATACATATATGCATATGCTATATATGCACATATTATATACAGATAAACATATTTACATATTTTTCTCAAAATTTCCCTATTCTTGGGTTAAACACCCAGAAGTGAGGACATTGGACCACAAGGATGAACCCTTTCATGAGTCCTGACGATCACATACACATTGTTTCTGTGGGCTGTTTTCAGTTCAGCATGCACAAGGGGCAGCTGACCATTCCTAAGAAAGCTGACATTCGTGGCTTCTTTGTCACAGCAGTTGATAAAAGAGAATCCTTGAAACAGCTTAAGGAAAATAATTCTATTAAAGTTCACTGAACATGTTTTTGTGATTACTAGAAACAAACCACGTAAGTCAGGCATACCGAGGGGCAGTGTGAACTGCTTTCATGTCAGGACGGCAGATAATACAGGAATGGCTGGGTGTCTGCATCTTACTATTGGGTGGCGAGGGGGTGGCGCTCTAAGACGTGGCTTCCCTCTCTCCCTCCAGCTACACAGTGGGCATAGTGCAGGAGAACAATGACCAGGTCTGGAAGTTCCAGAGGTATTTCCTGGTGCAGGAGTACTGCAGCCGCCTCAACATCCCCTTCCCCTTCGTGGTCTTCGCTTACTTCTACATGGTGGTGAAGAAGTGTTTCAAATGCTGCTGCAAGGAGAGGAACATGGAGTCTTCTGCCTGCTGTGAGTGGTGGGTTCTGAAGCAGGGGTCCATTTCAAGGTGTGTGTGGGATGAAGCATCCCGCTGTGGCTCACTGCTCATGCCGGCACCTCTCCAAAGATCAGGCAGCCGGCCGGCCCTCGGATGACTCGAGAGAAGGCATTTAGATCTGGGGATCCCCTACTTTGAGGGGAGAAACTTTCAGATGCACGTAACAATAATGTAGACAGTATATTGATTGAGCAGAATTCATCAGTTACCAAGAAATCATGACTTTGGTGTTTTGTTTTGTTTTTTTCCTTTGCTTCAGTGAAATGTATTCTCTGGGAAGTGTGAACTTCCACTTCGGCAGGGTAATGTGCTTTTTCTGATTGCTTCTCTTAGTCATTTTTCCATCTCTCTTACAAAATACCCAACACAATTAACTTATAAGGAAAAAGTTTGTTTCACTCAGTTCTGGAGGCTCATTCCAAGACGAAATAGTCCCGTTGCTTTAGGCCTGGTGAAATTGGGAAGGCAGTGACAGAATAAATAAATCACTTACATTATCAGCGGGGACAGAGGGAGCAATTCAGAGACTGGGGGCTCATAATCCCCTTGAAGGGTATGCCTCCAGTGATCCAGCGCCCACTCCCAAAGGAAACACCACCTGTCCACAGCGCCAGCTGAGGGGACCGGGCCTTTCACTTGTGGACCTTTGCAGAAAATGCATCCACTGTGGCCCCCAAAGATTCCTGTCTATCTGACAATACAAAACATGTTTACCTCATCCAGGAGTCCACAGAGTCTCTTCCAAGACTCACGCAAAACTCTGCAGTGAGCCTCTGTAGACATAAAAGAAAGTCACATGCTTCCAAGACACAAGGACAGGGCAGGTGTGCGAAAGAATCCAAGTTAGAAAGGAAAATCACAGAGTGTATGTCTGTTCCCAAATCCCCAAGGCAAGAGTCTACCAGCATCATTTCCCACAGCCCTCTGGGCATGCTGGTTCAGCACACGCTGGTCAGGTGACCCCCGTGTGCCAGCCAGGCTCTCTGGCCACAATATGAAGTGGGATCCAAGTGGTGCCCACTCCCAGGCACACTAGGAGCTGAAAGAAGAAAACAAAAAGCCTTAATTGAAAAGTGGGATTTGCTGATTTTAGAGAATATACAGAGTGTGGAGAAAGCAGCAGAGGTGATGCCAAACCCTAGACCAGAGCAAGCAGAGAAAGCTCTCTCCAGGAAGGGTCACTTAAGCCTTGTTCATGCGTTCTCGGGATACACGGGACATTCTGATGTGCCACTGGTGGACTCCTGTTCCACGCTGGGCTAAACTTTCTTATCCCTTTAGTGGACCACCAAATATGCTGAAACAGTAACCTAGACATAACAGTGGTAATTAGGGAAGCTTTAGGACTGGCGATGTAGCTCATGGGTAGTGCTCTTGCCTGCATGTCCTGGGTTCAGTGCCCAGTATATCCTTCCATCCTGAAAAATGAACATGCTGAGAGCCATCATTCTTGGGGGGTGGCTTTTCCATAGAAGCAAAATTCTCATATAAGTCTCACCTTAAATACTGGTGGTAATGGATGTGTGCTATCTGTATGGATCTAATTCTTCCTTACAGATTGGCTTACATAATATAAATGCTCAATTCACATCACCCTATAGAGAATTCTCATAATTAACTCTTTAATAACATTATTTCAAGACATTAAATATTAGCTTGGGGATGCAATTGACTATTACCTATGTAATTGTCATTCTTTACTCAAGTATTCTGACAACTTGATTGCATTCTTTTTGTCTTTTGCTCGTAACATTTTGCTTTGGAAGCAAAGTGAACTATTTAGAAGTCAAAGAATATTAACAATGGCTGGAAGTTCAGATAGGAAATTTGAGAATACTCAAAGACCGCATCCAACTATAAGAAGCTTTTTATGACCTTCCCCAGGGCAGTCTGTGATTCTGTCCTGAAATCACGTCACAGATGATCATTTTTCTGTCCCTGGGAGAAAACATTCTGGGAACCATCAGTATCTTAGAAAGGCTCACAGATTTCAGAGATCTTGAATGGGCAAGAGGAAAACAAGCGCTGTAGCAATGAAGACTTAGACTCAGTATATTTTAACTTCTTTTTTCCTTTTCATGGTATTGGGGTTTGAACTCCGGGCCTTCCATTTGCTAGGCAGACACTCTACCACTTGAGCCATCCTCCCCGCATAGACACATCTATGCCTAATAATTAGTGCTGACTAGCAGAGAAGTCAGTGCCTGTGAGATAGTGAATTGCCCATCGGGTAGACAGAGGGCTTTGGTGAGATAATCATTCCATTCTCCAGAGATCTGTTGCTGGCAGTCCATGCTCTGGGGAATTTGGCAGCTCGATGTGTAAATAGGAAAAACCAGCTTTCTGGATTCAGGATGAGGTCGACAGGGCAACTGTGTTACATTCCTCCCATACCTACTTAATGATTAAGCACGATATGGACATAACTTGGAGATGTGTCCCAAACTGACCTGCAGATGAAACAGAGCTTTAAGCTCCAGGGACCAAACAGATGGTCAGAGGTTCATGATGCTGCTCTGGGTCCCTGGCCAGCTCTTCTGAGCGTGAGGAACTCACAGCCATTGGAGAAGCAGTGTGATCGGGGTGTTCTCTCTCTTGAAACAGTTACTATTCTTTGGGAAAAACAGTGAGAGGGAATGGGGAGGGTCCCAGGACAGGGGACTTCCCCAGGGACTGGGCAGTGATGGGGGCAGAGCAGGTCAGAGACCTTTGCCCACTGGAAACGCCCCAGCTTGCCCAGCCTCTGCCTGCTCATTTGCTTCTATTACCAAATCCAGGCACCACAGCTTGCTGCCAAGCCTCCGGCTGGTAGTTCACTTCTTAAGTGCACTGTGCATTTACCTCCAAAGGAAGGGAAGTGATGTCTTCCATTTCCAGATTTCTCCCTTCTTGGAAAAAAATGCATGATTTTTTTTCCCAAATAACTAGCAACCAAACTTTCACTTTTGATATTTGTTTGGCAATGCCTTTAAATAATAAAAAAAGTATGCTGCCCAGTAATTGCATTTTCATAAAACATATACTTTTATTGTGATCCAGGAAACAGTCTGTGCCTGTCATAGGACATTTGAGATAAAGATCAAGGTTATATATAGCCCACTGTCCATTCTCAACAACCGGGTATTTATTCTTATTTGGATGTATAATATTTATATTGTCCCGTGCATATTAACTCATGACCTAATTAGTTTATTTAGTTAATAGTACATTATGAGTGGTTTCAATGTAAGTAAGAATCTATATTATAATAATTGGTACGTGTGTGCCAGGCCTGAGGCTTGAACTCTGGGCTGGTGCTATCCCTCAGCTTTTTTGCTCAAGGCTAGCACTTTACCACTTGAGCCACAGCTCCATTTTTAAATTGTCTTTGATGCTTAATTGGAACTAAGAGTCTCATGGACTTTCCTGCCCAGGCTGTCTTTGAACTGCTATCCTCAGATCTCAGTCTCCTGAGTAGTTACGATTACAAGTGTAAGCCACCAACACCTAGAATAGCAATTTTTAACTGTAGAGTATTTCAGCTTATGGATGCACCCTAATAAGCTTATCCCCTCTTGTTAAACATGAAGACTGTTTTGACTCTTTTTTTTTAGCATATGCCATGATGGTAGAATTTTTTTGTGTTCATTTTTGAGCGTATCAGTCATTTTTCCTTTGAGTTATTTTTAGAAGAGAAACTTGGAGAGAAAGAGTATGTGTACTTTTAAGACATTCTGTATTATCTCCACTGTCTCCTGCTCTATCCTTTCTCATCCCTCATTTTCCCTGAGGCTGTAGCAAGTGACCCACTTCTTCCACTAATGGGTGACCGGCTTTTTCACATCCTTCCCAACACAGGGAATGGCCATTCTTTTTTAGACCCTAATGATTTCCCAGGATGAACAGTGAAAGCACTAAGTCATCACTTCAGCTAGTGCTTTCTTGACAATAACAGAGACTGGCCCTTTTTCTTTGTCGTTTGTCTTTCTTATTCTCTGACCATTTGTGCACAGACACGTCAGCCCTTTCTGGGTTGACTTTTAAATACCCCCTTGAGATTCTACATATCCTCTTGTGTGAAAGGGGGAAAAGATACTTGAAAGGACTCTGTTCAAACAATTGCAACTAGGAAACAATTTGGTCATCAGTTATTTTGCAACGTAAGTAACCATCATTTGAAAGTAAATACATATCTGCTATATGGGATTTGCAGAGATCTAGTCATTTACATCTTGATTCTGTCTTTGATAGAATCCCCAGATGAACTCTTTGTAAATCCAGGAAGATGCTGTAGTTCCTAAATGCAAATGGATGCATTTAAGTGGTTAGTGAAAGGTCAAGATAACATACATCTATTCCAAGAGGCCACCTGCATGAACACATGTTTCTCTTGCCCCCTGAATTCATGAGGTTTGATGCCTGTTACCTTACTGTCTTAAATGTAGGTAATGTGGTGACCTAGGCTTTTGTGATTTGTGCCTTGCCATCTGAAATTAATGAACTGAAAATCACACCTGAATATATTCCTGCTCAATTTTATAGCAAGCTCTGGATGACAGGGAAAGTCTAGAGCTAAGAATATTCTTGGAGATCTACACCCAGACTACCCAGTACTATACCCAGAATACAAACGTCATGAGCTTAGTTATCTTACCTTCTCCAGAGTTCTTGCCTTGGTTTTAAGTGGAGAGTTGGTAATCTATGATTTTTCTAGTCATTACCTTTATGAAAGAGGATCTCATGACAAACATAAGAAACAAAGTCATGAGTGTAATGAGTTTGCTAAGTCACAGAACCACACATACATGAGATTTGAATCCATCTCTGACTGGAATAAAGATCACATTCTTACTTCACACAAGCAGCTCCAAGTCCTCATTGTTGCCAAGAAATCCATTAGGATTCTCTCGTTCAGCTGCTATAGTACTAATAAGTAACATCAGTCAGATCAGCCTGCACAGGACAAATCTAATCCTTCTGCCTCCAGAGTCTTTCATAATGCCCTGCAGATGTTGATCGAGAAAGCAAGAGGCAGAGACAACAGTCTGATTGATTTTCTTTTTTCCTTATTCAAGGTTTCAGAAATGAGGACAATGAGACGCTGGCATGGGAGGGTGTCATGAAGGAAAATTACCTGGTCAAGATCAACACGAAAGGCAGCGACAATGCAGAGGAGTATGCTTGTCTTTCTCATCTCTATACTTGAAGTCAGCAGAGGAGAGCTGGCTTATCTGAGCATGCTTTCTTTCCAGTGAGCATATTCAGCAGAGAATGATATTGTCCCAAAGATATCATCCAGATAACTGAAGATATTGAAGACAGCACTTACATACATGTGTAGCAGTCTTTCAAGAAGGGAAAAGATACTGTCCTTCCATACCCCCCCATGCATGCACACACACCCCACTCGCCATCCTGCTTCTCCTTCAGGGTCCTGGGGGAGAAAGAGGTAGGTAGAGACTGTGCTGGAGGCCTGAGAGCCGTGTCTGTGGAGGGGCGTTCCAGGAAGGTGCACAGGTAGTTGTCTTTAGCATACAGAGCACACATGTGTATTTGTCTCTGTGATGCAGATGGACAGAGATGAGACTATTACCAGCTGTTCTGGAAATTCCTGCACATCATTTCTGAATCACACAGAGTTGTAAATGTTCCTGTTCTTCCTAAATGCAGTCATTAAACATCTTCTAATAGAGAAGTCAGGGCTAAGTCTGCAGGGAGGCCTCCAGGGGTGGGTAACAAAGTGTATGCGTGCTTACGCTGCCCTTTTGTGGAAGTTAATCTTCTTCACTGACAGCTGTCACTCTTCTGGGCACTCAGAACACACTGCAAAGCGTGCTTACATGGTCTAAATGGATACAGGGAGAACAGATCCCTGAGTGGAGTCCAGCAGAGTGATTGAGAGAGGCCTGGATGCTCTCTGCTTAAACAACGAGGTGGATGTCCTGGGTTCTTAGGCTCAGGTCTGGGGTACAGAGGGAGGGGAAGACCTTTCTCAGTGTACTCCTCCACCCCATCAGCAGAAGGAGCATTTATTTGCTAACCTTTGGCTTGGAGCAAGAAAAGAATTGGCTTGGTTTGGGTTTTAGGGAGGGAAATCAGAAAGGTCAATCAGTGCAGCTGACCCTTGATTGAGCTGACGATCAAAACAATCTGAAACTCTGCCCTTTAAAAGTCTCGAATGGAGCCAAAGAGCCCTAGCTCCATCTGTCTCTCTTTCTTTCTCTCACTTTCTTGTTTAATTTCTTGGCAGAATGAGGCATCGGTTTAGACAACTGGATACAAAGGTATGGTTCTCTATATATCGGTTAGGGAGTGGATTTTTTTTTAAAAAACATGTACGTTTAGTATCTTTGAACTTTTGTGTAGAAGTGGATGCTTATGATCAGACAGCAAGAAGAGTAACTGTTTTAAGAAAACAGATGTGATTCTGTTCCACATTCATTATTGTCTTCATTTGCCATGGTGCTGGGGGCTGGGCTGGGATTGCTGCTCGTGCTCACAGACCACACGGGTGCTGAGATGCCACCACCATGATCTTTAAGATATTTTTCATCACGTCCAGTCCAAGGCTTGCTTTTCCTCCCCACTGTGAAGTACGTGGAGATGGTGGCAATGGGGAAACACAAGGGAAACTTAGAAGGGCTCTTGAGCAATTTGTGAGCACGACCAAATCTAGATTGTTCCTTACTTAATTGGGAGACCACTGTGTGTGTGTGTGTGTGTGTGAGAGAGAGAGAGAGAGAGAGACAGACAGACAGACAGAGAGAGAGACAGAGAGAGAGACAGAGAGAGAGACAGAGAGAGAGAGAGGACACACAGGCAGTACAAAGTGATGAGTAAGTTTAGCAGCAAGTATGGCGGATCCTAAATGCTAGATCCCTAGTAGGCTATGGAGAAAAGATGTGTTTCCTATTTTACTGTGTTTTGAGGATGAGAAGGAACTCGTGGCCTGGTGCACACCCTGCCCTTTGTTTGACCAAGCAGCATCCCCAGTCACCCAGCATCTAGTGTGCAGTAGGATCTCAATCAATAATTTGTTGAATGGATGATGAACACAAGCTGCCTCTTGTAGAACTCTTAACATGAGAATTTCTCTGTTCACCTATTTCTCATTGACTTTTCCCTGCATTCCTTGGCTATGTTAAGCAGTGGAGTCTGTGTCTTGGTGGGCCTCGTCTTCTGCCTCCCCTGTAGCATGTTGACAAAAAAGGTGATCAGTATCAGGCTCTTCCCTTACTTCAGATCCTTCTCTTCTTCCCTGCCCCTGGACCTCTGACCTCTGTGTCAGACGCAACTCTTCAGAATGACAATGTATTGCGTGTTGATAAGTGAATGTATCTGTCACAGTTTGGTTATTGCTGCTGCTGCGTAATGAACATCCCCCAGTGTGTTTTGTCTTGCACATGATGCTATGGGTCAGGAATTCAGGAAAGGCTCAGGTGGGCAGGTCAGTTTCTTCCTACAGACTCATGGGTCAGCTGGTAGCACACATAATGTTTTCTTAGGACCTCTCTGTGTGGCTGGGCCTGCCCCCGTGTGGGGGTCCAGGGGCAGGCACCCTTCGCAGTAGAGACTGACTTCTGATGGTAAGGCAGCCAAGAGTATAGCGCTGTTGAACCAAGGATGGGAACGGCTGGCCTGTGTCACCTCTAACAGAGCCTTTTGTTTCCAGAAGTCCAGGCCAGCCCAGACTCAACCAGGAAATCTGGTTCCTTTCTCCTGTTGATGTGCAAGCAGCCTGTGGGGGCAGGGGGGAAGAAGAACTGGTGGTAGCCATTTCACAAATGTGCAATCTTAAGACATGTCTGGTTCTTAGGTTCCTGTGACTGGTTTATACTGAGGGTCTGGGAAGAACCCTGTGTCGTTAGGGCTGAGTGTCTATTCATTAGTGACTATTCTAGAATGTGTGTAGATTAGGGTAGATTTGCATATTAAGAGAATATGTTAAAAAAACACTAGGGGACAGAATTCTAAGATTGCATCCTATATAATAGTATAGTATGTAGTGGTTCATATAGTGGTCCGGATTCATGCTTTTGCATGTAGATACCCATTTTCCCAACTCGGTTGATGAGGTTATTTTTTCTCTCTTGTTGATTCTTGGAACTCTTGCCAAAGATTATTTGACCATAAATGCATAGGTTTGTTTCTGGGTTTTCTCCTCTGTCCTATTGGTTCTCAAGCCAGCGAGTGACATGCTGGTCTGATTACTATAGTTTTATATTTTGAAATCAGGTAGTTTGTTGTTTCTAGCTTCATTCTTCTTGCTAAAGATTGAGAATTAGGAACACCTTAACAATCTTGCAACCTATAAACATTTGTATCCACAATAAATGTAGCCATTTATTGTGTCTTTTTAAATTTTCTTCATCAACGTCTATAATATTCTATGCACATCTCTTATTTCTTTGTTTAAGTTCCTTCCTAAGGTTTATTTCTTTGCTTGCTGATCCTAATGGAACTGTTTCTTAAGTTTTCTTTGGGACAGCTCATTGTTGGTGATCAGAAATACCAGTTTTTCTTGTATATTGGTTTTTTTCTCTTACAACTTTACTGGATTCCTTTATTATTTCCATCAGGGTGATGTTTTTTGGTGGATATTTTAACAAGATATACAAGATCATCTGTGAACAGATTCAAGTGTCATGTATCTATTTATTTTTCTTGTCTGGTTGCTCTGGCGAGTATTTCTAGTATGATTTTGAATAGCAATATCAAGAATGGGCAGTCTTGTCTTTTTCAGATCTTAGAAGAAAAGCATTAGATTTCTCCCATTAAATACAGTGCTAAGCTATGTTGTTTTTTCCATACCTGGCTTTCATTGCGTCAGAGTAAATTCTTTCTATACCCAACAAAGAATGCTGAATTATGCCAGCTGCTTTCACTGCATTTATTGAGCAGATCATGTGTTATTTTAGTTCTTCCATTGCATTGACTTATCTTTGGATGTTGAATCCTCTTTACAGCTCAGAGATAAATGCCACTTGGTTGTGTCTGTGGTCCTTTTGAAGTGCTCTTTAATTCAGTTTGGTCTATACTTCATAGTGAAATTTTTTTCATTCATATTCACCAGTGTTCACCAGAGATTGGCCTGTAGTTTTCTTTCGTTGTCTTTGTCTTGCCTTGGTACAAGAGTGATTCTCAACTCAACAGTGAGTGTGGAAGTGTTACCTCTTTTATTTTATTTTGTTGCTGTTCTGAGCTTCTCTTCCTTAGAGAGCTTTAGGTACAAAGTTATGCTCCTGATTTGTTGTTGTTTGGTTCAGGCTTTGTAGCACTTCTTGATTCATTGTTGGCAGGCTATGCTGATTTAAAAGCTAACTTGAGGTTCTACTACCAGAGTGATGAGAACCCTTCCCTTCTGGGAACTCCTGGGAGCTGAAAGTGGGTGTCTGCCCTGTGCCCTGCACAGGACATTTATGTTACCTAGTGAGTGGACTAACGAGTAGTCTGACCTGTCGCTAACAGGTCCCTCTCTCAGGAAGGTGGTTTGTACTGGTAGGTCCCCTCCGTGGGAAGCTCTTTGGTAGTGGTAGGTCCCCTTGTGGCTCTTGTCAGGCCTGTGTCCAGTTTATACCAGCCTGGTCGTTGCTCTGCTGCTGGAAGCCTAACTGTGTTTTTCACAGCCACTGGGGAAAACTCCGCCCGAGGCAGCCCCCACTTCCTCATTGGAAGGTGAAAACCCAGTACACCACTGCAGTAGGAAGTAGCCTGTCTTTTTTTTTGTCATCTAGCTAATGACTCATTAAAAAAAATTCTGCTCCTGGGGCTGGGAAGGTGGCTCAGTGGTAGAGCGCTTGCCTTGCATGCCTGAGGCCCTGGGTTCAATTCCTCAGCACCACATAAGCAAAAAGAAAAAAGCCGGACGTGGCGCTGTGGCTCAAGTGGTAGAGCGCTAGCCTTGAGCTGAAAAGCTGAGGGACAGTGCCCAGGCCCAGAGTTCAGGCCCCATAACCGGACCCCCCCCCAAAAAAAATTCTGCTCCTAATTTTGCTGAATTTAAAAAATTTTAGGTGTATTTTTCATTTCATTCTACTTTAAACAGCTTGTTAAAAATCATTTTAGTTTTAACAAAAACCTTTGGTTATGGGGTACATTTTTTCATCTCATTATTCTAGTAAATAACATTATTCATAACTCACCTTGCACCTGTAAGTAAGGATCTATGCCAAAAGCCCTTTTGATTTCTTTTTGTCCAAGTTAAAGGAAGAGATTATTGTTGAAAATAACCCAAATACAGTTTCTCCCCTTGACTAAGTGCTTAAAATCAACTATACAGAAATTGTATATTTCTTTATGAACTTTTTCGAGTATGCCAATGTGCCACATTATTTAAAATGAGCTATTGACTCTTGTATGATAAATTTGTGAAAAATTCAAGCATTGAGAATAATTTTATTATGCCTTTTACTTAACATATGTTTTATTGTTTATACTGTTTGTGGTGTTGTATGTGTGTTGGGGAGAACTCTCACATGGTCTTAGTATCCTATTATTTTTGTCAGTATTATACCTTTACAAAGCAAAGCTTTTTAAATGTCTTTTAATTTTATTAGTATAGTTTTACATTTAAACTTATTTTTCAGTAATACTCCTTTGTACCATTGCAGTCTGCAGAAATCACTGGGTTCACTGATTTATTTCACATTGGAATTGGGCCTTGAACTCTAGTTCCAGGTTTGTGTGAGTTAACTGGAGATACAAGTCTATGGATTTGTGTACTCAGGCTCACTTCAAACTGAGATCCTCATATCTCAGCCTCCTGAGTGGCTAGGATTACGGGAGTGAGCTACTGGCACCCAGCACTAATTAGTTTATTAATTGCTACTGATTTGATTTCAGAAAGTAATGAACATGGTCTGAGGTACCAGATGCCTCTCCCCACCCCTCTCTCCCTGTTTGCCCCAATCCCAGGTATACTGTGTTTGCTGTTTTAATAAACATGTCGATTACGTGGAAAAACTCTATGTAGCAATTATTTGAAATTGAATGATGGAAGATTCATCTTAAGACTGACTCTTTTTTTCTTCTTTCCAAGCTTAATGATCTCAAAGGTCTTCTGAAAGAGATTGTGAATAAAATCAAATAAAATGGCCTGAACTTTGGTGGAGAAAGATCTAATTGTAGCAAGGTGCGTTGTTGGCTCTTTCCTTTGACCTGAAAAATTTACACATTTGAAGATTGTTTTAAAGTCATGGCCTTCTCACTTGTTTGATCTTCATAGTGATGTTATTAGAGTAGAAAAGAATGTGTTGAACAAGAAAGTCAACTAACTCAGGGGTGCCCAGGTGGAGGTCTGGGGCCCCGCCCACACTTCCTTCCTCCCTGGCATCTGGAGGTCTCCAGTAAGGCACACAGCCTCAGGAATTCTCAAAAGATTCTCAGCATGATGGACGCATGCATGACCACACTGTCTTCAGACTTGCTGTTTTTTTGTTCCTTAACATGGTATCTGAATATTGAATAGGTCCATGCTGAAATCTGTACCTTATTCTCATAATCAATTATTTTCATCATTGCTATGGGATTTTCAAATGCAGGTTGATTTTTTTTAACTATCCAGAAGCATTTCAGTGAGGTATTTGAGTTTTAGCAGCAGTAGCTAGCTACGCCATGTGGCTCAAATTTAACTCTAGGCTTGGTTCCAGGATCTCTCTTACTGAAAGTTTTAATTACGTTCTCCCATTACCTGTCCACATCCTGAACAAATGTTAAAGATATTTTCAGGGACAGAGGGAGTTAAGGAAAAAAATAGTGACGGACATTGTATTGGACTAGAGATGTTCTAGACCGTAAATTGCAAAGAATGGAAACACAAGGAAGAACTCCTTTGCTCCCTCCCTCTCCCTTTCTTCCTCCCTGCATCCTTCCCTCCCATCAGCATTTACTGAGTTCTGCGGGGTCTGGCTGGCTCCAGCTCTGACCTCTGGCACTGCCAGTGCTGGCAGCAATTACTTAAGCTGCAGAATTTCCCCCGATGGAGTAGTTACATTGCAGGGAAGTCATGGGGCACCACGTCCCTTTCAGTCTTTCTGGCTACTCAGCTCCTTTGCTTGAGTTCTGATGGTTACAGATCCTATTTAAAGCTCTCTGTTATGGAGGGCTATCAGAGCAAGATGGATGTATATCTGATAGCATGTGAAAGACTGTTGGGCTTCCTGACGCACCTGAGGAGTAGGCATTGTACAGCCAATGGGAGCACCTCTCAGATCTTTCACAGTGGTGTTTACAAAAAACAGTAGTGAAGTTGTAAGTGTGGCTCAGATCGTTTATCTCCAGCTGAGCAAGCAGGCCAGGCAAGTGAAGGCCCTGAGTGCAAACCTCAGTACTGCCCCAAACAAGCAAACAGAAAACAAAAAATGAACCTTATGGTACATTTTAATCTGGATTTTGGAAAGCTTAGTGTTTTGCTAAATGTATGAGCTGAGAGGGAAAACAACCAGGAACAGACAAAGCAGTTAAAATGATAAACATTTAAAGGCAATTACAGAGTTTTAATAATCTGGGAAGACTCAAACTCAGACCTTCACATTTACCCCTGAAAGCTCTTATCTCACGTTCTTTTGTAAGAATGTATGTACCAGTGGGCAAGCAGAATGTCTTCCTTTCTGTCTACCTGCCCTTTGCTTACCTTTACCCTTATTAATATATAGTAAGAGCTAATTGGCTTAGGAGAACGACAGTACCTCACTTCAGTGTGCCAATGCATCGAAGACAAAAAGATGTTAAGAAATGGAACATCTAAGAAAACAAGTTCTCACGAATTCCTCCTCACTACTTCTTTAGAAACTCTGATTTTCAAAGCCCCAAGTTTTGATGTGTAGGTTTTGCTTCTAGATATAGGATATTTTTTATATTTTTTTAGTGCTAGGGTTTGAAACCACACCCTCAGCCAGAGATCACCTTTTGGATAGCCTGTTCTTAAGTATTTCTCTGAAAATTCCATTTGATAGGCAGCAGCCAGCTCCCTGCCATTCAGATGTCATTCTTCCAGTGTCTCCTCATGCCTCTTTCCCTTGTGGGGTGAGGTACTCATCCTTCCCTGGGACTGTGTCAGGGAAGAGCATGTCAAAGACCCCTGCCGGGGTGGGGCTAAGAGTCAACCTGGGAAAGAGCTGTTTACCAGTTCTCCCCGCCCCCTTCCAAATCAGCCTTTGAGCCACTCACCTGGGGAGAAATAAACAGATTGTCTCCATTTTTACTTCTTCTACACTGGTTGAAAAGAAGCAAAGATCTAAGGCGAGAGTAGGCCGAGTGGTTCCCACTACCTTTACGTGTGGGAGTGGAGCTTGCCAAGGACAGCAGAAGGAGGGTTCTTGGAGGCCATTGGCTCCCACAGTGACAGTGTGCTGACCCTTGAACTTGTCTCATGATCTGAAAGCAACACAGTCTGAAAGGTTCCCTGGAAAGGCCCCCCTAACACTACACTTTGATAAATTATCATTAACTCATTAAAAAATGCAGAAGCCACTGAGCAAATAAAGCCGTCAGAAACCTTTGAGGTCTTAACCCAGATGGAATAAGCTGAACCTTGCTCATTGAACCGTCTGCCTGCAGGTCACTGACAAACTGGCCAGACTCCAACACCTCATGGAGACAAACGTTCTTTGACCTGCTTCAGTACCAAAAGGAAGTCTCTTGACTTTATATCAGATTTATTTTCAGTATATTCCCAGTGTATTTTGAAGCACATCAGATCCTGCCTAAGAATGGAAATGCAGGCTATTCTTTTCTCTCTTAAAAGTTTTTGTTAGCATAAATTAATTCTAAAAGGGGTTTCCTTATGACATTTATGACATGCACATAATGTTCTTTGATCAAACTCACCCCACCCCCTTCTATTTCTTCCTAACCAGAATCTGTTAACAGAATTGGATATTCTTCCTTTGTTTCTGCAGGTGAAAACAGCCGCTCCAATCAAAAGGGTCAAGGAATGCCAACGAACAGTCCTGTCATTGATTACTCAAGGAGAAAATTTCTGTGCCTGGGGACCAAGCCAGTGGTTCTCAGTCACCCTGGGGGAGCTAAGTGTGAGAGCAAAGGTTGGGATTCATTTTTCATATGAAGATGGATATGTGGGAAGAAGATTCCTTAGAATGCACTTCTACCTGAGCGTGCCTGCTTGTGCTGCATCTCAACCCCCCACTGATGGTCGAGGGTTAAGTCTGCTCTTTCTCCTTCTTTTCCCTTGACCTCTCTTATTGATGACCCGGGAGCTCAGTAGGAGACTGTGAGGCAGTACTTGATCTGACTTTTGTTTCTGTGTTTTTGTGTATTTCCAGTAGATTTTCTGTTTTCTTTTTTCTGCATGACATGACTAGATCAACACTATATTGTTACAAGGCTCCCAAAAGCCAGACTCTGCTCTTTCCCACAGGGCCTTTGTTCATTTCCCAGAATGCTTGTCACTTGTCATTTGTCCAGATGGGAGGGGGGCTCAAATGGTGGCTTCTTCCTGTCTTAGCCTCACAGGACTCTGGCTGAAGGAACCGATGTGAAAAGTCACCCAAACAGACCCTCAAGACGCACGTCTGGTTTTCTCCTCTGTGGGTGCTCCTCTTCTTCTTATCTCCCAGTGAAGAACAATGCATGGATATTGTAGGAAATGTAGACTCCATAGACAGGCACAAGGAGTAGAAGCAGCCCCCTGCCCCAAACGCAGCCACTGGTCATCTCTTGGCTGCTTCTGTCAGTCTGGTGTTTTCTACGCATGTGGGATATCCCTTTAAGTTTTTTCCATGATGTCATCATACCGCCTAAACAATTTTGTATAAACGTTTTTTTCACTTAACATTTTAAGTGAAAGCCATTTTCTTCACATTCACAGTATTCCTAAATGTTACATTGGTAATCATGCAATATTGACTCATTAGCGAATCCCATAATATAGGCCATTGACAAGCATTGCCAACTGGCTATTAGGATGGATATTTTTGAGTGAGAATCTTTTTCTGCATTTGGGAAATTTTCCCAGGGCTACGTTCATTGGAGTATCTTTTGATTATCAAATCATTTACAAGACCTTTTAATGAATAAATAATAAATAGGAATTATTGCCTTGAGCATAGTGTATCAGATTCATGAATATATATCTATTAAAATATAGCATTATATTTAATCCTTAGATTAGGAAGAAGCTAACATCCTTATTCAAACATTATGGACAGTAAAGACATTGTGTGTAAGCTTGAAGAGACGGTCTTTCTGAACTCCCTTCTCTGGCAATTCCAAAGTGTAGTGCTGAAATCTTACAAGTCAATTCAAATGCTTATACTTAGTTTTTCAGCTTCAAATAGACTATTCACAGTGGCTGAAGAAAGGATCTTGGAAGGAAAGCTATTACATAAACATTACCCCCCAAAAAAACCCTACAAGATTGTTAACCACCCCCAGAGAGTTTATCTTCTTTTGGGCGGGGCGGGGAAAGGTAGTAGTACTTCATAAGGCTCTTCGCAGTCCACATGACATTTGCAAGAAATGAACACGAATGGAAGGTGCTTTTTAAATTTAAACTTAATCATCGATCCAGAGAGAATCTTCCTTGAGAGATTCACCACTTCATGGTTTCAGACAGAGAAAACCAAGGGGACAAAACCATCAATGAATAGAAAGTCCAAAAATGCTCTTTTCCTGAGAGCATTTCACTTCTGTTTCACCATAGCAACCCAAACAGCTGCTATTTCTGAAGCCACGGGGCAGAAAGTCATGCCCCCTCCACACTGGCTGGAAAGAATAGAGTCTCTGGCACTAGGTATGATAGTGTCCAGAGAAAACAAGCCCAGCCTCTTCTTACCATTGGTTCAAGTGGAGAACATGAATCAAAGTAGTGGATGAAATGTGAAACTCCCAAGAAAACAAAAATGAGTGTAATCTATTTTCTGATCCCTCCCAAGTGAATTTGCCTCCATATTCATATTTCTACTCGCTGTGTTTTTATTGGATTAAGACATGGACTGGGGTGTACAGCAAGGTCAGCAGTGAACAGTCACTCATTGTCAAGAGCAGACCTGGGCTGACCTTAGAATTCACCTGTATTCAGAGAGATCCTAAGACTCTGGCTCACCTCCTCTGCTGGATGTGTCTGAGCGCCT